ACAGGTTCTTATACGGTAGTGGTGCTATATAGCACCTTAACCACTCCAAAGAACCGCTGAAGAACCTTTTTTTTTAGAGTGTAGGACTTTGCTGAGGAACCCTTATGCTCAGAAACGGCCCTGGTTACAATATAAACACATGGAGTTATTTATATCTCATCTACAATAATGTACAGTATTTGAAAAATAATGTGTTTTTTGAACATTAAAGCATGTCAACATATTCTGTTACACCAAATACACAAAATAATGATCTTTAAAAAACCATCATATGACCCCTTTAAAAAGATCGGTATCGGTGATCATATCGGCAGATACTGATTTCTGTGATCGGCCTCAAAAATCCTGATCGGAGCACCCCTAATATATATATTTATACACACATTCTTTTTTTTTTGTTTGACAGGTTTGAGAGCCCTTCGTCATCCTCACAGCAGAGAGTTGAGGTTACAGTAGATGTTCTCACCAGTAGGATGAAGGATTTAGTCAGTAGTCATAATGTCATGGACTTCAGCCAGACTCCCATCAGCCCCCAGAACAACAGTGCTGTCCTGTGCAATGGAGACCTGAAGGACAGTGATGTTGATGATGATGATTCTTCAGAGGGAAGCATGAATATCATGAGGTTAGTATATGTTTAACTGACGTATTCAAAAAATATCACCTGCGTGTATTTTAGAATTTCTTTTTTAATCTTAAATGTCTTACAGTACTATTATGCCAAGAGTGTGTGTGTAATGGTGTGTAATAACTGACTTTCTCATTGTTTTTCCTATTTAGCCCTGATCTGAATGGATTCTCATCTCTGAACCAGACCAGACCTACCAGCTCTGAAACAGGCACGTTTATTCACTTGTAAGGAATAGTTTGAAGTGAACTAGTCTGTTTATTCCCATTTATAGTAACACTTGGTTTTTGCCCACATTGATTATGTAGACAAAGATGAAGCCCTGAACATCAACAAATTGCAGACAGTCAATGAACCACAGAATTTCCACAATCCAGCCCCTTTCTCATTCCAGCCTACCAGGTGAGTTATAAATATTTAAGAAACTGTGGCTGCATTTACACTGGCAAGGTTTTTGGGCGACACGTTTGCCAGACGTGCATGCGCTCGCATTTTATTGAAATGGAAACTTTATATAGGTAAGAAATTGCACATTCAAGAGCTATAAATAGAACAGCTTTGCTACTAAAAGCTAAATTATATTTCTTAGCAATGACGTGATAACTTTCACTTTTTCGCAAGCGTCACACTCGCTAGCTCTCTCTCTCTCTCTGTCGTTAATTCATTCGAATTCTTTTCAATAAATATCATCTTGGTGCTACTTTATTTCACTTAAGAATTCCACCTCTAATGAGCTGTAGATAAAATAGCCTAACAAATGAAAATTACCTTTATTTTCCTTTATTTATCTGTTCAGTCAGATTTTGTGCTGTAAAACATCCATGACGGCTGTTGTCCATGCTGGCAAATAATAATGGCCACTTGACGTGAATTATATAAATAATTTTTATAGCACGGCCATTCAAAACCAGAGGGTCTACCATGTGCATAGTAAAGCGATCACTTTCATTTTAGGTGGGAATTATGTAAACACAGATATCGGATACCAGTCATGTCTAAAGTGAATGTCAAAAGATCGGATCTGTGCATTAAGACTTGCAGTGTAAATGCCGCCTATGTTCACATTCAGCATTACCACGCGTAAAGGTGTTCTGATTATTGTTCATATCTGATAGTAATACCAAGTGTTTCCCGTGTAGTTTTCACCCACAGATCAAATGGTTCCAGAGGGGTGAGTTGGTCACGATCTACATAAAGCTCATCAATCCAGCGATGCAGAAGTGTGAATTCCACTCAGACACTGCCATTTACAGGTCACATGATCGTAAAGCATCTGTTTGTTCAGTCATTTATTAACATTTCATGCTAGAAAGAAATGTATGGGCAGTTTAAAGGCTGTATTTTCTTAATATGACAGGACGGCAAAGAACATGTGCATTGGTGTATGGTGTTTTACAAACATATTTTATGGGTATTTTTCATGCATTTTAATCTCAGTGGGTACGTGTATGACCGGCATTACTATGCAAAGCTGGAGCTGTCCGGTGACATCATCGCAGACGAGTCCTCATGGGAAATGAGATGCAATGAGCCGGTGATGAAGCTGAAGAAAAAGGAAAAGCGGGACTGGAGATCACTCCTCAAACACAAGGCACCGTCTATATCTTATTCAGATGTGACAATTCATTAGACCAGAGAAAGTGTTTAATACATTAATTGTGCTTGCTGTATTATGTTGAATATAATTTGATTTATGATGAATGTTTTTATCATGTCTGTTAATCCACAGAGCCTATTTGTCAGCTATGAATTTGACTGCATTGATGAGACTCGTGTTTCTTCAGTAAACAGTGAGGAATTCATATTGATTAAACCTTTCTGAGATGATGTTTGATTGGGGATACTAAGAGTGTAATTTTTAATTTTAAACCCTAATTTCCTCAAGTAGTAACAATTAAAATTATGCACTTTTGTAGGGATTTAGGTTATTTAGATCTTATTTACCCCTCCCTTTACTCCCTTTGTTAGGGTCTTCCTCATTTATTTCCTATGGTTGGTCAGTTTTGACCAAGAACAGCCAAAGAGGTGTGACGACTTATGTATGACCAGTTTTTTGTTTGTTCAGATTGCATATTTAAAGAAGGCATCAAGTTTGGACCACTCAGATTTAGAAAACAATTAAATAATAATAAAAAATAAAAAAATCTGTCAAAAATGACCAATAGTCAACAGGTTAAGCATATAAGGGCATATGAAGGAATACATTGGAGAGTTACTGTGTAGGGGAAGATTTCATTTAAAAATTTTTCTTTTAATGGAGTTAAAACTACATTTTTTCTGTCATTTAAATGCCGTGTATAATCACATGATTGTTGTTTTGGATCAGGGCACTTGTTCCTGGCTGAGGTGGGAGAGGAGGGCTGTTATGTCAGCTCTGAGTGCGACAGTGACTGAAGAGGACGGATCCCAAATACACAACTCTTGTACAGTACGTTCTTTAATTTAAAAACAGATCTATTTTATTGTCTAATTACCAATAATAATAATAGATATAGCTGCAAGCAGCGATTATGGGGCCAAGCCCCTGAAGGGGCTGTAGCGCAGAGCAGGAAGAACAAAAACAGCAGAAATAGAATGTACATTAGGAAAACAGATAGGTTCAGAAGTACAGAGGTTTAAAATTGAACAGAAGTTCAGATGAGAACGAACAAAAATGCATTTCTGATTCAAGATGAACACACATGGAAGATCCAACATCTGGAACAGAAGCAACGTTCGCACCACTTCTGGCCACAGTACCTCTTGCGGTCTGGGCATGTCCCAACCTGGATTCGAACCCACGACCTGAAAGGTTTGGGGCCAGTGGCTTAGCAAAGTGTGCCACTCAGTTGACGCACATTTAACAGGCTGCAGAAGAGAAGCTTAGGTGTGAGCTCACAAAATCATGGCTTAGCATTTTAGCCAGATTAGCATGCTAAGCAAAATTAATGCTAACATAGCTTACAGTTAACCTGATAGTTGAAGTCACATTAGACAGAATGGCAACCTGTTAGCATGCTAACCAGTTAGCATGCTAAGCTAACTAGCATAAGTCAACAGTTACAAATTTCGAGAGGTATTTTTTTTGGGGAATGGGAGCAATTATCAAAAATCTGTTCAGTCATTTCTGTGTGGCTCGATCCAAAGATCATATGATCAGATTTTGGACAAAAATTTTCATTTACTTCAATATGGCTGACAGGCACATTCATGGAAAATGAAAAATGAGACATCATCAGAATCGGCATAACCCAGGGAACGAAATGATATTAAAACCAACATTTTCAAAAGTTATGTGTTTTTGCAAGAATCGTTCTATCTCTGGAACACAAGGTGGCACTGTCTTCAAACTTCTGAGGTACCTTCAGGACATGGTGTTGATGATCCCTACCAAATCTTTTTGCAGAGATGTCAAATAGTTCAAAAGATATAGCAATTTATGACAAATTTCAAAATGGCGGACACGTGGTTCATCCGATCCTGGCAAAATTGACATCCACAGATTCGGCATGACACAAGGAATCCAGAGACACACAAGATCATGATTTTCTAACTAACTGTTCAAAAGTTATAAGCAAAAATGTGCATTTTTGGTATCTCACGATCCATAGGTGGTGCTGTTCCCAACTTTGACATGGACCCTCAGATCATGGTGTTGATGAAGTATACCAAGTTTCGTTTCGATTGATCAAAGTTTGGCCGAGATACAGCCTCTGAACCAATTTTGGGTCAACCTCGTAAAGTTCATAACATCATAACTTTTGAACAAAGATAAATAAAAAAAAAGCGGTTAAGTCATGTCTGTGCAGCTCAGTCCAAAGACCATCTGAGCCAATTTTGGGAAGAATTGGATCAATTTTGAAGGAGTAGTAGTGAAAAGATGGTATACTACTTTTCAAAATGGCCGCTACTGTAATGGGTGGAGTCTTCATGTATGCTATTGCATGTGATCAGCATGAAGAGAGTAATCAGGTGTACTAAGTTTAATTTTTCTAGAATAAGTGGTTTAGGAGTTACTGCCATTTCAATGTTGAATTTTTGAACTGGTGGTGGCACTATAGAGTTGGTTCTAGAGACCCCAAAATTGGTCAGATCACTATTCATGACCATCACTACAAGTGTGCCAATTTTCATCATTTTCCTATGTTCCGTTCATAGGGCTGCCATAGACCCCCATTGGGAAAAAGAAGAAGAAGAAAACGTACAGATACAATAGGGGCTACAGCCCATTCTGGGCTTGGCCCCTAATAATAATAATAATAATAATAATAATATTTTTTTTTTTTTTGTATTTGTGTTGGTGTTATACCATGTCTTTTGAATGGCTTTCTTAAGTTAAACTAGTTTTGTTAACAAAATGTCTAGTTTTGTGAATGTCAACCTTGTTGTGAAGCACTGATTGATTGCAGTGCATATAGTGCAAAGTGTTTTTGTTTGTGTTCTTTCATGTGAATATTTAAGTGTTTTTTTTTGTGATTTCATAAATTACTACACTTCGTGTAACGAATATAATTTTGCATGTTCTTTATGAAGCAATTAAGTGATAAGAATACAGTTTCATGGTTTGTCAACTTAAAGTTGGATGATTTTCAGTCATGTTGAAGTACAATAAATTGTTCAAGATATGAAAATGAATGTTTTCTTTTTTTGATTTTATTATTAGTAGTAACTAGAATCATGTCACAGCTGGTCCTGTGATCAACATTAAGATATAAACCCTGATAAACAGACTGACTGGCAGGAGTGTCCCTAGAAACAAGTCAAGTCGATGTCCACTGCTCAGTTGTCTTCGTTGTACAGAGCTGAAATACATAATACATTGCTATTTTATTAGAAAGTGCTGATTTCCTCACAAGTACAAGACCTTTTGATTCTGTAAATTAATCTGTGGAGTAACCTTATCTTGCCCCACACATGGATTTTCCTAAACTGCTAGGAATTTGTACTCATTTCAAGTAAAATACATTTTTAAGATGGCTGACACTTTTAGACAAGAAATGTTAAGTTTACTTCAGTTGCTACGATTTTTTAATTTTTAATGAAGTCTATTCTGCACACCAAGGCTGCATTTATGTGCTTAAAAATACAGTAAAAACACGAATATTGTGAAATAACATTACAATTTAAACCATCGTGATTTATTTGAAAATGTCATTTATTGCTGTGATGCAAAGCTGAATTTTCAGCATCATTACTCCAGTATTCCGTGTCACATGATCCTTCAGAAACAATCAGACGCAAACCAGCTGTTTAAACTGGAGGCGTCAAAGCTATAGCTCATTTGCTCTTCCATTTATCCTGTTGTCGACAGGCTCAAGCGCTGGGGTAGGCTATGTCAGAGACTGAGCGCGCATCTGTATAAGGTGTGCAGTTTAGACAGCATCAGTAATTATAATGGGTTCTGTTGGCTCTTGACGCGACGCCAGTGGGCGGGGCCTGTGGTGCGTCAACCATTATGGCATCATGGAGTTTGGAATTCCTGGCCGCGAAGATTCATTCACACAGAGTCGGTTAAGAAAGAAGAGCTAGGACTCGATGTAAGCGGAAAGTGTGAAATAACATCTCTACAAGACTTCTGCAGGCATGTCACTGTCTTCAAAAAGAAGAGACTACAACAGGTGACAGAAGAGTCGACAACAAGTGAGATTTTAAATGAAAGCTAACAACAAAGTATTTCAAATCAAGATAAAGCTATGTAAACACTTGCGTTTTTACAACACTATAAGTGTGTCCCATCAGGTAATGAAAAGTTGTACACACACTTGTGGTCTTCATGCTCACTTGAACACTTGGGCCAAATACAGGAAATACTTCATAGAAGTGGTCAAGTGCAAAGACCGCAAGTGTGTGTATTTGGACAAAGCTAGAAGCTGCTGCGGAGAGCAAGTTGCTATGGTTACTTACATACCCTGAAAGTAACGTCCGATTTTGGAACCGAAAGCTGAGGTTATCCGCTGCTTATCCTCAAACATACCCGGGTATGTCACATAGCCTGCTTTCTGGAATACCTCCCTGATTACCTCAACAATAGTTGTTTTTGTAGCCAATTTTAAATCAAAACTGTAGCATAGCTTGAGCTGAAATGTAATGTAATGTGTGAAGAAAACCCCCATCACTATCAAGATATAACTTCACAATCAACAACCCTTCTGCTGTAAAACCACATACTGCAATCAAACAAACATATCACATGTTAAATAGACGCCCCCTACTGGAGAAACTAAACGTGCTTAATAAACTAACAAAATGTATCTGCATTTTGAGATTAGTCACTATTTTTATCAATAGAATCTATAGAAAATATAATAAATTTTGATATGGTGTTGTGTCAAACATTGCGATAAAACACATAGACTTTTATACATTTATATTTGCTTTAGTCCAGTGTTTTAAAAGCAGTTTGGAGGAAATGAGGTTAGCATCTTCTCATTTCAGTTTCATCAGATTATCTGAGGAGTTTGTCTGTTTTAAACTACAAAAATGTCTTGTATTATCTGCGGCCTCGACTAAAGCTAAGAAAACATGTTTGGTGGTGTACCTGTTTGTGTTCAGTGTATTATTTCACCATTTTATAGATATTTTTGCGTGGCGAAACTTCTCGGAACTAATAATCCTCTGAAAGTACAAGCAGCTGCTGTAAAACAAGCCCGTCCTTGTTTTTGAATGGGACTCAATGGAGAAGCGGGTTCCGCGAGCCACTCAGCGCCCCCTGGAGGAAGAGACGATTTACACATGATTTACACAACCAATGAAATCGTTAGAATCGGTTGCGGGGCGGGGTTTGCGCTTGGAAAAAGTCACGCCCTCACGCAATGCACTGCAGGCACACAAGGACCTAAAGTCGCCTTTTAACTGCCTGTTCAAAGCTAAATTACATTTCGTTGATGGATATATTTATATATTACTAAAACTAATTATAACCTCAAAAACGTATTTAATACATAAAATGACCTATTTCCCCACAAAAAGTAATTTTTAAAAACGACAGCAACACATTGGAAATCTTATCAGGCGTCACGCAGGCGGCCTGTGGGGTCATACTGGTGGAAATGTCATTCAGCGCAGCGGTTACTCAACTCATGGAGATCGGCTCCGAGAGACTGTCGTGAGGGATTCGGGCTGAAGTGTGGTGCTCATGGCTGGGCTGCTCTCCGCGGTGCGCTCCGCATCCAGAGCTTTACTGCGCTTTAACCCTGCAGCTGCTGGGAGACTCACCGCTGCTCGACCACGGGTGAGAGAGAGAGAGAGAGAGAGAGAGAGAGAGAGAGGACGAACACAGAAGCAAGGTCAGTACTGGAAGCATGTAATACACACTCGCCTGCATTTATAGAAGTGGTCAAGTGCAAAGACCGCAAGTGTGTGTATTTGGACAAAGCTAGAAGCTGCTGCGGAGAGCAAGTTGCTATGGTTACTTACATACCCTGAAAGTAACGTCCGATTTTGGAACCGAAAGCTGAGGTTATCCGCTGCTTATCCTCAAACATACCCGGGTATGTCACATAGCCTGCTTTCTGGAATACCTCCCTGATTACCTCAACAATAGTTGTTTTTGTAGCCAATTTTAAATCAAAACTGTAGCATAGCTTGAGCTGAAATGTAATGTAATGTGTGAAGAAAACCCCCATCACTATCAAGATATAACTTCACAATCAACAACCCTTCTGCTGTAAAACCACATACTGCAATCAAACAAACATATCACATGTTAAATAGACGCCCCCTACTGGAGAAACTAAACGTGCTTAATAAACTAACAAAATGTATCTGCATTTTGAGATTAGTCACTATTTTTATCAATAGAATCTATAGAAAATATAATAAATTTTGATATGGTGTTGTGTCAAACATTGCGATAAAACACATAGACTTTTATACATTTATATTTGCTTTAGTCCAGTGTTTTAAAAGCAGTTTGGAGGAAATGAGGTTAGCATCTTCTCATTTCAGTTTCATCAGATTATCTGAGGAGTTTGTCTGTTTTAAACTACAAAAATGTCTTGTATTATCTGCGGCCTCGACTAAAGCTAAGAAAACATGTTTGGTGGTGTACCTGTTTGTGTTCAGTGTATTATTTCACCATTTTATAGATATTTTTGCGTGGCGAAACTTCTCGGAACTAATAATCCTCTGAAAGTACAAGCAGCTGCTGTAAAACAAGCCCGTCCTTGTTTTTGAATGGGACTCAATGGAGAAGCGGGTTCCGCGAGCCACTCAGCGCCCCCTGGAGGAAGAGACGATTTACACATGATTTACACAACCAATGAAATCGTTAGAATCGGTTGCGGGGCGGGGTTTGCGCTTGGAAAAAGTCACGCCCTCACGCAATGCACTGCAGGCACACAAGGACCTAAAGTCGCCTTTTAACTGCCTGTTCAAAGCTAAATTACATTTCGTTGATGGATATATTTATATATTACTAAAACTAATTATAACCTCAAAAACGTATTTAATACATAAAATGACCTATTTCCCCACAAAAAGTAATTTTTAAAAACGACAGCAACACATTGGAAATCTTATCAGGCGTCACGCAGGCGGCCTGTGGGGTCATACTGGTGGAAATGTCATTCAGCGCAGCGGTTACTCAACTCATGGAGATCGGCTCCGAGAGACTGTCGTGAGGGATTCGGGCTGAAGTGTGGTGCTCATGGCTGGGCTGCTCTCCGCGGTGCGCTCCGCATCCAGAGCTTTACTGCGCTTTAACCCTGCAGCTGCTGGGAGACTCACCGCTGCTCGACCACGGGTGAGAGAGAGAGAGAGAGAGAGAGAGAGAGAGAGAGGACGTGTTTATATTCCAGCACACTCACACTGATTTATTATATCTGATGTTTTCACTTTAAAGAGTATGTGATATGGTGTTGGTCTGTTTTGTCTCATGTATGACTAAATTTGTGTATGTATAAACGTGTGTGTGTGTGTGTGTGTGTGTGTGTGTGTGTGTGTGTGTGTGTGTGTGTGTGCATATAAATATACGTATAACTAATATATATATATATATATATATATACTTGTGTTATACATCAGTCATGTATACTTTACTGACATGTGTTTGTTGTGATGTAACTAATAACTGTGTCATGATGAGTAAGCTTGAACTGCTCTAGCTATATGTTATGACTCTTAACCCCTTTCCTTCTTGCTCAGTTTTTAGCCCTGAACCGCCTTAAACCAGGATCATCCGCAGGGAATCGATACACATTCCCGCTCTTGTCTTATTCC